AGGCCGTCGCTGGATCAAAGAAAGCTCTGTTTTTGATGCCTTCATTTTAGCATAGCTGGAATCACACTGATCCAAAGTTAATTTTTAACATTTCCATATTTCTCTTCCTATACAATAATTTAATTATTTGAATGTGTTAGGTAGTGTACTGTTGTACCCTTCATTAGTTGGTTCTGAAATATATTGTGTCTTCAGCATAGAGCTAAATCATCTGCACAGCGAATACAACCTCTAAACTTAAATACTTTGTTAAATCTACCTTATGGTTAACAAAACTGGTTGATAATTATCGTTTACATTTTCATAGAATTGCTTCTTCTCGTTCAGAGTTGTTGCAGGATGGGGTCCAAATTTCATGTGATATTGAAAAATGGTTTTGAGTATTTTATCCTAGGACAACTGTAAAGGTGAGACTATTGTTTTGTGTTATTTTTATCACTACAGCACAGAACTGCATACATTCATTAGTGATGTTGGTGACAGTAATGTGCTTTGGAATAGTTTGGCTTCGCGTCTGTAGCCACTAGCAGCCGAATCACAGCACAAAGCCTCAGCAGCACTGAGAATGCACAGACGTGTGTTTTGTGTACGGTCACATCCCATCAAGTTACAAATGACTAATTATTGTTGCATCGTGAATATCGTCGAAGGACTGTTACTTTTAACGCTCTGAGCCTTTTTGAAGGACCATCCCACCAAATCCTCCTCCGCCTCATTCACTCTGGAAACGTCTAGAAGCTGGAAGTGTCACATGGAAGTGTTAATGCACCACAAAGGCTTGATTTGTGATACAAGATGATTCAAATATGGCTTCTTTCTCCTCTTCTTATTCCTTCTGTGTGCGCGGATTGCAGCCAATTGCGTTTTTTCCGGGCCATGTTTGTGTGCACGGAGGACGTGTAGTAATCTGAGCAGATGTGATCACACAAACAGGCTACACAGAGAAAAATAAGACATTTACGTAGGTGATTCCCCCGCACGAACAACATAAGCTACATACTGCGAGCACACACCCTCCATGCAGAAGCACGCATATCTGTGTACGACATGTACACAGTAGCCGATATAACAACCAAACGAAACCCGTTCTTCATCACTCACATTAGGCTGACATCACATAAATCTCTTTACCTCATAAAGACTCACGTCAGCCTTGAATAGGCGATAAAGTCAACAATCCACGAATTAAAAGGCGACTTGGATTCCCATCACCTCTCCAGAGGAGGAATAAAGCACAAGACAGGCCGGCTGGCGTCTCCTGACATTTGATGTTTTGTAGAGGAAGCTGCTGTAAGAGGAAAGCTGTAAGAAAGACAGGTGATGGAAAATGGGGATAAACAGGCCCGTACCCGCGGATGTTTGCCAGCAGAGGTCCAGGACGGCTCGGATCTGTGTGGAATTCCTCCTGTTGATGGGAATATTTGCGGGGGCTTCAGTCGCCGCACGGCCTGGGAAGCGTAAAGAGGAGTGATGGAGAAGAACAGGAAGCGCAGAGCATCACAAGCAATATCATCTCTCTTCCGTTCATCTTACGCCAGAATCGATTCTCCCACAAATAACGGCAGACAGTGCGATGTCACCTCTGTCTCCCCCTCTCTCTCCTCAGCTCAGTTCAAAAGTGCCATACGGCCAGTTTCTTAAAACAACAACACATACATCATAATAGAATAAAATAATAAAAGACAAGCAATTAAAAAAATACAATAAAATAATACAAAGATTAATACACAGTTCAGTTTATTATGTGCTAGTCATTTCAGATCATTCACTGTGTCTCCTGGGAGTATTTTCCGTTTTGCAATGTCACTGAAATGTAGATTTACAGGACAGAAATGGTAACAGCAGCTGTTCTTTACTGAATGATTTCCATTTTAGGAGGCCAATAAAGTATGAGATGTATATAGATGTTCACTGGTGATTGTTTGTCGAGGAAATCTAGTATTGTTTTGCTTTATTTGCATGATTTATTCAATAAAAAGCCAATTTGAAACAAAAGGTTGTGTTACAGAATTCTACAATAAGGTATGTGTGGCAAAATATGATGCGTCAAATAAATGTATCAGGAAAACCATGAGCTGTTAAAAATTGAGGCAAAGCGATGCAACCATTTATGACCATGCAACCATGTAAAACAACAGAAAAGCAAAGAGGCTTTGCAATGTTATACTTTATTCATCTGCATATAGTCAAGTTGTGGAAAAAGGTTTCATGTTGAAAAATGAATGAATTATTTATATTGTGTCTCTGACCTAAAGTCAGAGAAATTGGACATGATTCTAAAACCTGCACTGAAAGGTTGGATGGACTTAAACCAAGTTCTGAAACATAGAAAACAAAGAACAGGCACAATAATCCTCGTCCCCAAACAGGGTAAAGACACAAGGGTACTGGGGAAACTAAGATCAATTACATTACTAAAGATTATAGACCGATTACAAACTCAGGCTGTATCACAACAAGACAAAAAAAGAAGCTTGTGTTAAATGCTGGGTGCAAAAAAAATCCATGGTTTTAAGAAGAAGAGTGCCCTTTATTTGCCATGAGGGGATGATGCTGGTCTGTGCACTGGTATCCAGCTTGAATATTGTCTTTACATTTTCGCATCCAAGTTCTGTGTCTGCATGTGCGCCAGCCTCATCTTCAGTTACAGTAACAGTAACCACAAACAGTTCTGAGTCCTCGTGGATTTCTTTGATGAGCGCACTTCTCTACGACCTGATTCATGTGAAACTTCGTTCTACAGGCTTTTGCAAACTAATACTTTTTGTATTTCAGACACTGTCAAGCATTCTGCTTGTGTACTGTGGTGTCTCACGAGCCTTAACTGGTGCTTCTAACCTTTCTTGTAACCCATCAGCGTGCCCTACTGTGCCCTTTCTTCCATGTTTATGTTGTATTGAGTGGACCTCGTGGCTGTTGCTAACCATAGCCTTTAGCTGCATCTGAGCTCACTCATGGGAGGGGCCTATGTCTGTTTAGGTCTGCTCCTTAGCTGGGCAGCTTTTCCCTTACTATTGATGAGCAAGTTCCAAATACAATACAGTCCCTGACCATTTGGTCATTATTTCTATAGTTACAGTCTTTCACCTGTAGCTTCAGCGCTGTAACAAAGTGCTTTTCAGTACCACTGAAAAGAAGAGTTCCTTTATTTTATTCCAATATTCTAAACGGCACCATATTGTTTAAGTTGCTGCTGCAGTGACACTTGAATTCATCACTTTTTGTTGGCTAATTTTGTAATAGAGGCTGACAGAGGTGCAGGAGCAAATCAGCCTGGCCTGCACTGAACACCCGCCTTGGACCGGTGCAGAAGCCAATTTAAGAGGTGGATACACATTGAAACTGCACATACCAAATGCTCCAATGTGTTTATGACCTCGGATAACCTGTAGGAGCACCTTTGGCAGGCCTACACACTGACATTAGCCCATTCTCATCAGAACAGTGTGAAATTATTGCACATGTCTAAAAGCGTTGCCCATCTAATGATGCTGGAGGATGAAGAAAAGGGAATTATCCTAATTCTAGAGACCACAGCAATGGCTGAAAGTCTGAAGAGATGTCCTGCAGGGAGGACGTGAAATGTCACTGTGGATAGTGGAGGTCCAAATGTACTCGAGTGAACCAAACACTGGAAAACTGGAGAATCCCCAAGAGTGTTGGGGTGATCGTGAAGACTAGCCTATCCATTCACTTAAACACTGGAACCCAAAGCAAAATCAAATATACATTATATAGATATAAAAACAACTGGGCTGTAAAATCCTTAAAATATCTTAATGAAAACCACGTCTGCTTTCAAGGAGAAAATAAAACAGGCAGGTCAGCTCTGACTCCTTCTGTGCTCTCAATTTTTCCTGCTTTCAACAGAAGATGTTATTTGTAGTATTGAGTGACATCATCCTCACTATGATCTGTTACTCACACACTGCGCCGCCATAAGAAGTATATTTATATTATAGAAACAAAAGCTAGAAAATCTATTTCCTGACAGATGTGTTTTTCCTATCCCCCCCTTTCTTCCCAGTTATGCAGGTACACTATGACCAAAACTCCAGACTCCCAGTGATAAAGTTCAGGAACGTTTCTGTGTATTACAGCAAACACAGCAGTCTTTTCTCTGTATGTTTGACTTTATAAATGGATTTATTATGAGCAACGCAAATGTTAACAAATGGAGACACTAATTGTTACAGTCACAGCCTGCTGTCTTTAACAGGCTCAATGTTTTTCTTGCCTTGATTGTGTGAAGATTTCTCCAAAATCCTCAGTGTTGATCACTGTTATTGACAGTCTGGTGTAATAAGCTTGTTTGGAATTGCTTCACGGGAAAGCATTATGAAGATGTAGTCATAGCCAAATTGGGCCAGCAGATGTCACTGTGGAGGAGCTAAGAGGAGAACAGTGTGGCACGTGCTCAAATGATCCAAAGTATGTATTAATCAAATACCCCCCCCCCCAAAAAAAAGATGGGCCCGATATCACAGAACTGTTACATGATATTAAATCTAAACTGTCAATTCACCTCTGTAGAGTGGGCGTCAGAATGAAGCTCATATGAAGCTCAATGAAGTTAATATCAAGTTGTAGATTGAAGCTGCTCTTCATATTTCTGGCCACCAGATGTCACCACAGAGAACAGTGTTGAAAAGCTTCGAGTAACCTGTTTCGATACAAGCTTCAGAAAGTTTCATTTGGCCATCGCGAACTTTTGGTACGCACCTGCATCGTCGATTAATCGCATCGTAGATCCCACACGGCCACGGCCCAGAAGAAGACGAGGAGGACGCTAACGGTAGCACCAGCAAATATCGGAAAGGAGATACGATGACGTAATCAGAAAGCGCCGTAGACGTTAGCAAACCAGTTAGCTCCGTTAGCCCGCAATTTGAAAGGAGCTTACTGACAGCTTCGTAGCTCGTGTGGGCCAATGTTTTGTCTTGGTAAATGACCCAGCAGCACCTCTGGTTCCTAGCAGCTGTTTGGGTTAGTCCTGGCTCGCCTTCATTATGACAGAGGAAGATGATTTACCAGCCAACTTTTTGACAGAGAAGATGCAGCACAGCAGTGGAGAGCTGGTCCCTCCCGACGGCCTGTGTTGGTTGTCAGTGCTGTTCTGTCTGATGCTGGCTTGTTTTTATGTTGGCAGCTTATATGTGTGGAGGAGTCACCTGCCGAGGTGAGCTACATACGCTTTATAGTGGGGCTTATTTGAAAGGAGAGTCGGTGAACTGCTTTCATTCCTGTATTATTTACCCATACTGAAGTTTGCATCAAGTTTGAATTAATATTTCATTAGAAATAACTGATCAGTCTGCATGTTTGTGGAGCATGTTATAGAGTCACTGAAGAAAGGCTGGTGGCATCTGCAAGTGAGCTTTTTCACGCGGTTCCGTTCGTTTTAGTGAGGAAATGTATCTCTATGATAATCTTCAGTACTCATGTCACAGTGTGGCTACCAGTGCAGTAATGAAGCAATGACAGTTTCCTTGTTTCTGACTGGATTAACCTGTGAGGAGCTTCCAGGGCTGTTGCTACTTCACCTCCACCTGGGCACACTGCAGACCAGGTTTTACATGTGTCCTTGAACACAGCTGATTTAAGTGGCTAAACGACTCTTCAACCTCTCTTGAA